GTGTCTTTAGGTCTTTAGAATGTTTTTGTCTGTCACTGTAGATGTACTTGTCTTAATGTCCTTCTTGGAATATCAGCTTCTGGAAGGTGTGAATCACATCTGGGACGTATTTATGTTTCCTATGAGGCCTTGCACCGTTCTTGTCAGAACCGGCCATCCAGAGCTGGCAGGTGCCTGTTTCCCAGGCTCTGTAGGAAGCAGGAGGTCTGGGCAAGTCCTGGCAGTGAGAGGGTGTCCAGAGCAGATGAGCACCTGCTTCTGGGGAAGTCTAGGCTGAGAGCCAGGCGCGCGTCTCTGCAGGGCCGCAGTGTGAAGGAAGTCTTGCTTTGTGGGCACTGTGAGGACACAGAGGAATCGAAGGCTGACAGGCTGGGCTTTGTGTCTGACTCTGAGATAAGCTCTGAAAGATCTCTCGGGGGTTCCCATGGGGACCAGGATTCAGAAAAACATGGCTCTATCAGACACGGACTAGGTACCTGTGAGTGGGGCAGGGCATGGAGTGATGGCAGATGAGTTTGGTGATTAAACATGTTGGGGGCACTGACTACAGTGTGAGAGATGATTTTCTGGAATGAGGACATGAGTTTAAACTGGGCAAGAAGTCAACATCAGTTGACTTGAAGGTCACGGTCATTAGGGTTCTTACATTCCTTCCTCAAGGCTTGTCTATCTGGCCTTCTGTGAAAAAGACTGTCCTTCTTCCCTTTAGTTGCTCATTTGTCAGATGAACTCCATTTTGATATTATAGCAGTTTCCTCGAAGAAAAGGTAGAATTAAATAACTAGGCTACTACTTGAAATTATTTCCATAAGAATGATTACTAATTGCTCCTTGATGGAAGACTTTCATTTGACTCATGGCCATCAGTGCTAGCTTAGTAAATGTTCCCCTTCTGCATAGAGCATTTTAACCTATCTTTTTGCATAGTTTTTATTGTTAGAAGTTTAGAAAAATACTCACAACGTTAAAAATTACTTTATAAAACCTTCCACATACTTACAAAGGGCTTATGCAGATGGATGAAAGATAGCATGTATACTCCTGAATTAATAAAGCAGCAGGAGGAAATTAACTTGGAAGGTCTCCAGAGGCAGTATTAAGCAATGCCTTGAATACTGTGCTGGGAAGATTGAACCCTTTTTATCCTGTGATGTGATTACAAAGTTATTTTGCCCTTATCTTTTCAAATTTTGGTTGTAAAATCAACAAAAACTGTAGTGCTTTGAAATATCTCCACTTGGTTGTTAGGTAATGGCAGATCAGGAGTAGCATCAAAATATAGAATCAAGGGAATTGTAAATGGGGCCTCAGAGGGAGCATTGTTAAAAGATGTATTTCTTTATGAATTTTACATACCATACTATGTATGTATGTATGTATGTATGTATGTATGTATGTATGTATGTATGTGTTTCTGAACTCAGGGCCTTCATGCTACTAGATTGCTCTGTATTTTTGCCTGCAGCCAGCTTCAGACCAATATCCTATGACTATGCTTGGCTTATTCATAGACCAGACCTATGGCTATGCTTGGCTTATTCATTGAGATAGGTTTTTTTTTTTTCCCCCAGTCGTGGGGCTTGAACTCAGGGCCTGGATGCTGTCCCTGAACTTTTTTTCCCCCAAGGTTAGTGTTCTACCACTTGAGCAACAGTTCTACTTCCTACTTTTTGGTGGTTAATTGGAGACAAAAGTCTCTGTCCCGGCTGGGCTGGCTTTGAACCATGATCCTCACGAGTAGCTACAGGTGTGAGGCACTGGCACCTGGCAGCTTTTTGTATTTTCAGCAGCTTAGAGGTAGATATGTATGTATCAGTTGTGCTCTGAGACTAACTGAACGAGTGAGTTGGAGAGGAAAGAGAGCTGAGGTGTCTGGACTGTGCACAGTGGTTGTTCGGGCTGGGGGAATCTGAACAGACAACAGTATTAGGTCTCTCCAGCCGCAGCGTTCTTCTCCTTTCCTCTCCACTGCTTGAGAGTAATTAGGGCATTTTATTGCAATGATACAAAATAAAAAAAGAGACTTAACTTATTTGTATTTTCTAAGGACTTATTTTACAGCTGTCAAAGTATTTACTGCTTCTTAAGGACAGGGTTATCTTTTCACCAGGAATAATGGGTATTTTCTTTCCATTGGAGTATTTTCTAATTCTTTTGCAACATTGGCTCTTGGTAATTTCTTATAAGCAGTAGAAGCATGATCATGAGAGCTAGGAGGAACAAACTTAATCCCATTTGGTTTTAGACATTTTGCATCTTAATATAAATATGCTTGCAGCTGGGCTTTCTATGCCACCTTGGTGTAAAGTCAGTCATATGGATTCTTCCATGTTTATTTCCTGCAAGTCAAATGAACATCAAAGTTATACAAATGCTACTTGTTGACTAGGGAAAGAGAGCGGGATGTAGCTATTCAAGAGGCTTAGATCTGAGAATTGTGGTTTGACGCCAGCCCAGGGAAGGAAAGTCTTCTAACTCTTACCTCCAGTTAATTAGTAGAACACTGTCCTTGAAATAAAGCAGCTCAGGAGTGCCTCTAGTTCAAGGCCCAGGACAATAGAAGGGAGTTGGTAAAGGGGGAGAGGGAGAAAGGGAGGAGAGAAGGAGAGAGATATATACAGGTCTTGTAAAATTTCCTAAGTGCCTTTTGCTGAAAGAACAAAGAAGAAATATTAATCAGACTGGCTTTGAGTTGAGAAAGTCCTACAGTTTAATTCTGACTAAATCAGCACTGATCAAAACTAAGGTCAGTAATAGTGTCTTTATCTTTGTATGGAGGAGGAGGATACATCTCTTAGCTTGAGTTTGGGGTGCTGGTGGCATATCTTGGTGACACTGTCTAGTAGGCAAGTGTTATATGGATTTCCAGTGGCACTTGGTGATGTGGCCTGGGTAGAGCTGGTTTCAGCTCATACAGAGGCAGTGCTGGGTCATGTAGGTGGCAGGTACGTGGCGAGGGAGGGTGTGTTGGTGTGTTTTGTTCACCCATGCTCCCTTATAAAAGATCACTTTATTGAAAGGTGAATCAGTGCTCAACTATTAGGGGAAATTAAAAAGTTAGCAAGGTATTTTTTCTTGTGAATCCCCAAATAATATTATTTCCATCCTTAATAAATTTGTTTTTAAAGCCTGTAGTATATACTGTCTTTCCAATACTTGATTATTTTATTTTATTTTTGGGTCCGGTTGTGAGGCCTGAACTCTGGGCCTGGGTGCTGTCCCTCAGCTCTTCAGCTCAAGGCTAGCACTCTACCACTTGAGCCACAGCACCACTTCTGGCTTTTTT